TGGCATTGTTTAAACTGCAGTTAAAAAACTGCCTTTTGACATGCCATTATTACTTTTTGTCCATCAAGATAATTTTCAGCTTCGTGTCAAAAACTATTACATACGTAGGTATTTTTTAATCGAAACAAATTTAATTCCTGAAGTTCAACTTGTAAGTGTCCACATTGAACGAATTTCTTATTTTATATGTTGTTTATATGGTTTATTTATGCAGCATATGGTTTTGCACGGTGGGTGCTAATTTTACACACATACAAAGTCATATAATCAACAGACTTCATTTAGTGGCCTCATTACTTAAAATATTTCAAAGCGATATGGCGAGGATCTTGCGTTAGTGTAAGAGGTAGTGACTGGCGTCGAATAGCATGCTGACGTTACTGTTAAATTCTGGTACTCTGTATTTTGTGTTCCGGATTTCAGTAATAATACAAGCTTGCTTCCTGAAATCAGTTCCTGTTTCTTCCTATGCATTCTCCATACTTGCTGATTAGATTTATTCCTGAAGTTTCTCACGCGATGAAGTTAAATTTTCTTTTTTTATGCACCAAATGATGTTGGCTTAACTCAATCGCTTTCAAAATTGATGTTCGTTCTGTATGAAGTGTTTATAGTCAAACACTGAGTCACATAGTATCTTATGGATTATTAGCTTCTAAGTAGCTTGCGCTGTGAACAGTTTCAAGTTTCACGCACTTTTTTCAATTTAATTGTTTGATACTCTGCTGTTTTTTCTGAGTTGGCTTCATTTATGTAAAAGGAAGTTTGCTTTAATGTTATGCTCTTGATGTGGTACTTACATTGTGCTATAACTTTTTATACGGTTTACATTTGCGATTAACTGATGGTTATAAAATTATAGGGCAAGAAGGAATAGATCTGCTTGAGTCACAGATGAGAATTGCGATTAGATTACGCCAAGCTAATGTCGAACTCCCACCATTGCTAAAAGATCTTTGTGAAAAATTGTCTAGCGTGTCTTTGCCGCCAGTTTAAAACTGTGACCAGCAAAAGAGTATGCCTTTCAGTTATATTTTGTGTATTATCACTGCTTTTTGACCAACTGTAAAGTTACTGCTCATAATTTTTTACAAATTGTAGTCAGTGCATTACTTTACAACACCGTTTCTCAGCATCTGAAGTAAAACAATAAAATTGACAATGCCGTACTTGCTTTAACAGCCGTCAGTTTCGCTTTTGTCTCTGCAACTGATAACTAAATTTGAACTCCAAATTGGATTACAAGATGTTTCAGTACTTACACTTTATACGTCAGAGTTTTGAGCCGATAGGTGCCACAGCTGATTCTTTATATGAACAGTTTCTTTATTGTTGCAAACGTAAACATAAGAAAAAAGGTTCTATCGAAAATGTAATAACGTATGACGGCTACTGCGAATCACGCAATTACTCACCTTGATGTTGAATTAATAGATCTCTGCTTAAAGAAGTTATAAGATTTTGACATTCATATTTCTGTATTCTGCTGGTTTGCTCTTTACTGAAAATGATCGCAGGATAAGTTAACAACGAAAAGCAAGTCAGGATGGTTTCTACTCGTCATTGGTAAGTTGAAAAAAGAAATAAGTTACGACAGCGCGACCTGAACTTGAGTGGTGATGTCGCTGGGATATCATTACAACCATAAACACGCTTAATGAAAACTTCTGAAACTGGAAAATAATGTTAAATACGTTTATCATAAAAACTGTAAACAATTGGCTGCGACGACACATCAAAACGACAACACATGGTCGATAACACACCGACAGACCGATACCTCATCACAATCCATATAGAGACGGTTCGATCAATATTATGAAGCAGCAGAAACGTACACGGAGCACTTTTCCGCAGATTCTCAGAACAGCCCGTTTACAACACATTTACATCGAGTATTTCTGATAGGCAATGACCAAAGTGCATCAAACGAGAACGCAGAACATTCATTCTTTAGTTCATTCATTGCAGTTATTATCGATTTCAACGGAGTCGTTAATGTGCGCCAGATAGCGGAAAACAGTCATCTTTTACCGAATTTTACCGAACAGTAACATGTACAGTTTAAAATCACAACTGTCCAACGGTCATCACTGCTTGTGACCACTGTCATTTCTTGGTGGTCACTTCGCCTTTATCGGTCTCACTACCATCACGTTTTGACACAATCACGGTGTCATCGTTTTCAGTAACCGAAATACCATTCGAATGGTCTTCTGGCGATGCCGACGTCGAACCATCATTGCGGATTTCATTCAGTCTGTCATATTCGTCGAATCCTGGAAATAACGATCCATGTCAAAGCATCTGAATACTTGAATGACTATTCTTAAATTTACAGTACCGAATGTCTGCAAAACTTAGCTTAACGCACATAAAAACAAGATTATGTAACCTGGGGACATGATAAGGATCGGTTAGAGGTTAAACGAGTCCAGAGCAGTTGGTTTGTTTGTGTTAATCACTTTAAGCTGTCCGCAACTGCAAAAAGCGAAGTTTCATAATATCCATTGTAGATAGGCGTACTGACGCAGTAAGAGCATTACTAGCTGCTTATCAAATGAAGAACTTGACGCAAAGGCATCTCTGCTTGTTATACCAAGTACTTTCACAATATCATCAATCGCATTTTGGTTTTCAAACGTCGATAATTTGTTGCAGTCATATTCTTGAGCAATGTGCAGCTGTAGAACGTTCTCTGCTCGTCGCATCTGCTGTTTCTCAGTTTTTTTAATATTTTAAATACAAGCAACACATCCGCCGTAATGCTATGGATACGACGTCAAAAAATAACGATACTTGGCATCTCTGTTATTCATATTACATGTTTACCTTCGGCTGACATATGCTGTTTGATATATATGCTCAACCAATCTATCAATTTGTTAAACAGGCCGACAGCCCATTCTCAACCTTCATTTCTAACGGTCGATGACGATTCGGCGCCGATCGAGAGTCGATGTCATTGCGCAGTCCAGTGTAGCGAATTTGGGTCTATGTGGCTGGACTGAAACTTCTGTCAAACTACTAAATTTCTAAAATTTCGCGCTTTATTTAACGATTGAATTTTTCGGGCAACGATCAAATCGTCATTGAGTACAAGAACATTCGTTTAATATGGGTTACATATGCTAAAGTATGATCCATCTGTTTAAGCAGAAAAATGCAATCGAAGCTACTACACTGCCAACCCGCTATAAATCCATTCATGTGCTACAGATCTTCCCGTTAAAATATATCGTATCTATGAAATGGAAGATTTTCGATCGGCGGCAAACTACTAACTCATCTTTGGACTGATGATGAATTTGTGTTATTGGAGAGATAAACAAAAGGAACTGAAGTCATACTAAGCGAGAAATTTAGACTTTGGATAAACAGAGCGAACACTAAGATGACGAGAAATGAATCTGCGCATTCACCTACAATGGCAATCGGTGACTACTAAACACAAAATGTCAATCATTATGTCTGACTGGGACAGCTAATCGTGTCAAAACATCCCATCGGTTCAGAATAAGGAGCACATTCAAGAAAACTTAGCCACCTGAAGGCAAGAAGAGGATAACTGCTAGAAGAATTCCGTTGTATGACATCATACTACTGCCAGCAACTACATAGGTTGCAAGAACTGAACTTTAAAAAAGAACGAACAACTGATAAGAGTGCGACAGCGGGCTAAGGAAAGAAGGAAGATCAGGATTTTGAGCAGGAAGAGGCTACGGAAATAAAACGTAAGGAATGAATAACGTTCAGTCATTTTAAAAGAAGAAACGAAAAGACGATGGACATGGAATGGGACGAATCGGCGCGGCCGTTTAGACGCTGATCAACAGTGTTCTCAACGCGCAGTCCTGTGAGCCTACTGCGATAGTTCGACCACGCACTCGTAAAATAACGTGCGCGGGAGCTTCCGTGGTGTCTTTGGCACGTCTCTTGATTTTCGTCTCAAGTTCTGCTACATCCACACCCGCAATCGAACTGTAATATTCACCAATCTTTTTGACAACAGTAGTACCTGCTGTATGTATCCTTGCTTTGCATCTACCTATTCTGTTCACAATGCCAAAATTTCTTTGCTTCGTTAGCACTATTTTTGTTAAAGACGTAGCAAAAGCCCTCTAGCGAAAACGTTTCATCGTCTCGCTTTGAAAGCAGCATTGCGAATACCCTCGATAAACTCAATGCTTACGTTTCTTATACTCTCTTGCAATTCGTGTGCCTAATACAAGCAATGATGAAAACGTAACAGCAAAACTGACCAAAATTCCAGAGGAGTCAGTTTACACTGGTTACACCACTACTGTACTCTGAATTAATTATCTTTCATGATAGAATCATGAAATGAAACAAATACAGGAAATTCATGAAATTGACAGCGAACTCATGTTGTCTTCTCAGTGAGCTTTCCATTGATATGCAGCATGGCAGAAGATGCAGATGGCGAGGATGGAAAGGCCATAAAGTTAAGCGTTATGAAATTAGATAGAAAATCGGGGCGAACATAGGGAAGAGAAGCTGCCAGATTTAGTAAACGCGTGTAGTCCCGCCGTCATAAAACAAAACTGAACTTCGAAATTCAATAATTTGACAGACGTAACATTGCACTCTCTGAAAGCTATTCATTAATATACGAATTATGGAAACTAAGAAAAGGAACGGATGGAAACATCTGCTGATATACAGTACTTGCGAACGCGCGATTTGTGCTTTATTAATGAGTTCTCGCAGTCAGAAAACTGGAATAATAAAATAAAACTGATATTCATTATTCTAACAAAAGTTTCATATGTGCTCATGGGGAGCTTCTCAGGGATATGTAATATGGTGGGTTTGATGCAAAAGTTGATCCGGATGCCCAGAGTTCAATCATATAGATTCAAACTTGCGGCCACATGACGTTGCTAATAGCAAACGGCCGCGCCGAATCGTCACAGACTGTGATGGCCAGGTCACTGTCCAACTAACAGATATACTTCAGCACTGAAGAAATGGAACCCACTGGACTACCAACGGTCAATAAGATCTCGATTCAAACGGGATGAAAAGCTGAGAGATATCAAAGCTCGTGATGACGACGACTGGAGACAGACAAGTATTGCACCGCTAACTGGCGCACCTAAATGAGATGGAGATGATTCCAGTTAACAGTGATAAGGTTCGATCAAGTAAAGAATCATACCTAGAGCCCCAAATGTGGAGTGGATTTTCACAGTGGAATTAAGGTCTGTTTTACTACAATATAATCTGAAGTTACTGCTTAGTAAATCCATTTTCTTCAACTAGTTTGATACGAGAAATCAAAAGGAGTGAGATAATTCAAAGTCCGTTATCTGCATAACTCAGTGAAAAGCAAATGTGAATGGACGCATTCCATTAAGAACTCCAGAACCATGGTAAACCAACTTTGCAACCTTAGCTGGACTCTGATGGCACACCATTCCTTCGTATATCTTCTCCAAACGAAAAGTGATGCTTTGTGGTATTCTGCAGCATTTTAAGATTGATGGACATTCTTGGTGTGCGGAGTCAAACGCACAGTAAAACTCAATATAACATAAGTGAACTGCTTCAGTCTTAAGAGACGAGTGAAAATGTGGTAAGTATGGGAGTGTGTGCCACAAGAAA